ATGGCTTTGTACTAATGCATTAACCCACAGCGCCACCACATATGCATGTGAAAATTGGACAGTGTATAAGGAAGACCATAGAAGAAGTGATGCACTTGAGTTATGGTGGTAGAGGAGAATATTGAAAGTACCATGGACAGCCAAGAGCAAACAGATCTGTATTGGAAGAATGCACGCAGAATGCTCCTTGGAAGCCAGGAGGGCCAGATATCGTCTCTCATACTTCAGACGTATTATCAGGAAGGACCATTCACTGGAGAAGAATATCATGTTTGGTAAAGTGGAGGGTCAGAGAAAAAGAGGAAGACCCCCAATGAGATGGATTGGCACAGTGGCAGCAGCAATGGGCTCAAGCATAGCAATGTTTGTGAGGTTGGCCCAGGACCGGGCAGTGTTTTGTTTTGTTGTGCAAAGTTGCTATAAGTTGAAACTGGCTCAATGGCACCTAACAATAACAACAACAACTAAGTCTTAGTCTCTTTACTTGAACAAATCAGCAAACAAAAAGTGTGTGTGGGGGGGGTGATCCCTCGCCTATTTCATGTGGCTGTTATGGTGACTATATGAGAATTGTACATAGTATTGTAGATAATTAGTGATTGCTTTCCTTTCCCTCAAATATCTGCTTCCTGCCCATTTCTTCCCTGGACACTCCAGTGTGCCTATGCTATTTAATCTCTGTTTCAAAAGCAGATTTAATTGTTTTCAATCATTAATCAAAATTCTTTATTGTATTCTAATTTCTCAGCCATTATTGTCACAAATACAAACATTGCCCAACTGAGCCCATCTATTTCTACACACCAGCTTAACAGAATGACTACATTATTTTGCTATTCTATGTGTCTATATTGTACTTCCCTATCTCAGGGCCTTCATATACTGCTCCTTCTTCACTCCCTGAAGCATGTGCTACTCTTCTATGAATTGCTTTGTTGTTGTTGTTGTGTGCTGTTGAGTTCGTTCTAACTCCTGGTGACTCTGTATAGGATTTCCAAGAAGCAGCTGGTGGATTTGAATGGCCAATCTTGTGGCTAGCAGTGCAGAGTTTATCATATACTGCCACACCAGGACTCAGTAAATTCATGGCACTATGTCAAATGTTTTCTTCCTCTGCAGATATGAAAAGCTGATGATATAAAACCAAACAAAACCCTACTGCCAGAGAGTCAATTCCAACTCACAATGACTCTGTGTAGGATTTCTGAGACTGTAAATCTTTAGAGGAGTAGAAGGACTCATCTTTCTCTCACGAACTGAGTTTGAATGGCTGACCTTATGTTTAGCATGTGAGTGCTTATCCTACAGTACCTTTAGTTATATTTGCTTAATTTATAATACATCAGTACCCATCTGCTACTTTGTAATACTGCAGTCGTTTCTTTTTGTTGCTATGGTGCTGAAAGTTATGTCACTGGTATTTCAAATACCAGCAGTGTCACCCACAGTGGGCAGGTTTCTGCAGAAATTCCAAACAAGAGCAAGCTAGGAAGGTTAGGAAGAAAGTTCTGAAAACTGCTAATGAAATCTCCATGGATCACAACGGACTATGGTCTGTTATACTCCTGGAAAATGAGCTCCCTAGGCTGGGAGGCAGAGAAAAGGAGGAAGACCCCCAACAAGATAGACTGGCCATCGATGGACTCAAGCGTGGCAATAGTAGTGAGGTTGGCCCAGGATCGGGCAGTGTTTCGTTCTGCTGTGCATAAGGTCGCTATGGGTCAGTACTGACTCGATGGTACCTAACAACAACAGGTTGGAAGGCAGAATTCCAGTGTGGTGCTGTAGGAAAAGCACTGAACTGCGAACTGCAAGGTTAGCAGTCCAAACCCACCAGTGCTTCCTTGGAAACCCTATACAGGGTGACTCTAAGTCAGAACCGACTTGACGATAGACAACAATAGGCTAGATGGTGGAGCCCTGGTGGCACTATAGGATAAGCACTGGGCTGCTAACCTTAAAACCCACCAGTTGCTCCATGGGAGAAAGAAGAGACTTTCTGTTCTCATAAAGATTTACAACCTCAGAAACCCTATACAGGGTCTCTACACATCAGCCTGACTCAATGGTAGTGTGTTTTTATTTTATTTTTTGAGTTTAGAAGGCACTCAAAACACACAGTGGTCACAGAGTATTATCATGAAGATGGCACAGATGTTTTATTCTGCTGTACATAGAGTGACCTCAAGTTAGAGTCAACTCAATGGCAACAGCACATTTATACAGGGTTCTTCTAACATGTATATGGTTCTTGAAGGTATGTACAATGTTCACTTTAATTAGCCTGTGATGGATTAATGTACCAGACTGCAAAGCCGTTTGAACTGCAAGGTCAGCGGTTCAAGCTCACCAGCTGCTCCTCAAAAACCCTATACAGGGTTGCTTTGGGTCGGAACCGACTCTACAGCACTTCACAACAACAACAACCAGTTATATGGTTTTGCACATAATAGCACCACACTGACAACTTGTTGATTGGTTTCTTGACTGTGCAATGCTGACTGTTTCTTGCAACAAGTTAGCCTGAAGGATAGCTTAGCTTGAATGTTGTTGTTAAGTGTCATCAAGTCAGTTCTGACTCATAGTGGTACAGGGTTTCCAGGATTGGCTGGTGGATTTGAATATGCTATGCTACATTAAAATTGTAGAGCCTTATGAAAAATCATATAGAGCACACAGTCCCACTCTGAAACATACTGGCTTGTTTTGTTTGCTTTTGTAGAGTAAGCATGAAACAGCAATGGCAGATTCCATGAAAACAATTTAACATTAAAAAACAATAAGGGTTGGTAACGTCAACTATTTGAATTCCTTCATATTAAATCCTTTACATGAAAAAAGTTACTTCAAAATATATCTTTTAAATGAAAGCTATTCATCATGCATTTCTTTCATGGGAAACAAAATGTTTATAAGTATTTACTTTTTCTAAAAACAGAAACTTTTTTTGGTCACTGTATAGGAGATATTCTTGATCATTATCCAATATTCCTCTCAAACTGTAAGTTCTCATAAATAAGCTAATAAGTAACAGTCTTTTAAGAATTCACAGCATGTCACATTTAGATATTTTATATAGTGGTTGTTGTTGTTGTTTGCCGTGGAGTCGGTTCCGACTCATAGCGACCCTACACAGGGTTTCCAAGGCTGTAAATCTTTACAGGAGCAGACTGCCTCATCTTTCTCCCGCAGAACCACTGGTAGTTTCGAACTGCTGACCTTGCAGCTCACAGCCCGATTCATAACCACTACACTACCATATAGTGGTAGGTCCAAGAAACAGTTGCATATAAGTGGAAGTGCTAAGAACTCAATAAATACTTCAAATATCTTAGCTATTGGAATTCTTCTGAAACTGTGTTGTAAATAAGAATTCTTTTTAATTAAACAATAATTATATGCTTCATTTGACTTTTAATTTAGATTTTCACTTAATGTATTTGGTTAAAGCAGTATTCCTTGTACTTTGAAACCTTCTTACTAAAAAAGAGTATCATATTGTTCATTTTCCCCTTTATATGCCAAATTTCACCTTACCTATTTTTAAAGACTATTTTGTCTCTATTTCTAGCTACTACCACTACTGTTTTAATTACCATACTGGTGTGGCACTGTAGGATCAGTACTAGTCTGCGAACCACAAGGTTGGCAGTTCAAACCCACCAGCTGCTCCTCGGAAACGCTGTACAGGGTCGCTATGAATCAGAACTGACTCAACAGCACTTAACAACAACAAACAATTAATTTAAAATTCTTACCACACTTTTCTTCCTCCAAGAATGATGACATGACAAGAATGCTGCATTCATTTCATGCAGTCTAACTTAATTATTAACATGTTCATGCTTATTTAGTGTCAGCTTTATAAAGAATGATTTTTTTTCTCTAAGGTTATATTTTAAGAAGAAATACAAGTTTTGACAAAGTATTCACATAATGTTCATTAGATTATTTAGTAATGTTAATATATGTCAATAATAACTGTGAAATCATCAACAATATTAGAAATTTGCAGCTTTATGCCACCAAGCTAACACACAAGTCAACACTCAAACGCACACCTATACAAGCCCACTCATATTAAACGTGTAATTTCAAAAAGGAACAGATTATTAGTACAGACACCCAGATTTCAGATTTAAGTATTAAGCAAGTCCTTTCTATTGAGTAAATAAAAATAAATAGACAAGAAAAGCTTTCACTCCAACCATGTCCTCTAATGGTACCTGAATCACTAAATGCTTCCCCATGAATAAAGTGGTCACCAAAATGTTTTAAAGCTGTTCAATACACAAATGAAGATAAAAAAGATGATCCCACAAAATAAAATATATAAATGCTAAAAATTAATTGACAACAATTAGGATGAAACATGAAGTTATTTTAGCAAATACCAGTAATATAGTTATACAGTAAATACAAGTTACATAACTTTGACAGTGCCTTTGAAATTATTCACAATAATGCATTAGTCTAAAATTGTTCATTCTTCTCATAAATTCTTATAAAACTTGAACCAATTTAATGCTTATCACCAATATGTGATTTAACAAATTGATTCTAAATAAGCACATCTCATGTATCCCTTTGGTAAGGAATGTGGTTTTGTTGCTTCTTATTTTTAGATATTTTAATAAAAATATATTTTAACATAAATAAAATATAAATTAATTATTATTAAAGCCACGGAAACCCTATACAGGGTCGCTATGAGTCAGAACCAACTAGATGGCACTTAACATAATACTGGGTAGCATTTATTTCTCTTCCCCCCTGCAACTTCCACTTTCCAGTTCTTGTATTTAATAAGACACTAAAGATAATACCAAGAGAAAACATACTATTCTGAACTCCCACGCTTTTTGAATAGCTGCAGTTATTCTGAAAGCTAAGATACTGCCATCCACACCCACTGCACCAGCTTGTCCCTGATAGAAAGGATAGTTTTCCCTTGTTTAAAAGCCTAACTGATAACATAGAAGGTTTGGTAACACTCTTACCCTCTTCATCAGAAACATCAAGAACCTCAGTCATCGTCTCAGGAACATTCAGCTTATGTTTTTCAGTGATTGTCTGGAAAGACAAAATCATCAATGCTCAAGTTAACAACAAAACAAAACCAAGGGTCACAAGACTTGCCAGGGAAGCCACAGTCAATAGTAGTAGCAGCAGGACACCAGGCACTGAACGTTCTATCTTTTGCACACATATATGCAGAAGCTTATTTTTTTTAACTGTCTCTCATGAAATCTCATTTGTTCTTTCTTTAGATAAATGCTCAGTGAAATAGTACAAGAGAAATGGTTTCTCATTTGAAACAGATTATTTAGCAGTAACAGTTATAATTAGTCATATTGGGAAACTAGATTAATGTTTTCAGGACCTCATTAAAATTAATTAAGTAATGTATTTAGAAAGCTTTTAAAAGAAATAATGGGCATATGCAATTTATTCAAAGCAAAACCATTGCAAAATAAGTTACACAGTGGGAAAGGCACAAGGCATTTGGAGAGAAAATGTAACATATCTTCTGGGATTAGGGGATCAAGAGTAGAGAATCAATCTTTGTATTATGTCATCGGGCTACAATTCTGATTTGTTGCTTATTTGCTTTCCATGAATATTTCCAAATCCACTTCCCTTGTTTTCTGATGTATAGTGTAAAGTTGAGACCAGGCTCTGGAATACAGTTGCCTGGGCTCAAATTCAAACCTCATCACGTCTAAATTCTGAGGCATTGGAAATCCCCTAATCTCTAAATGTTTCAATTTCCTCATCTCAAAAACAAGGATACTAGTAGTACTTCACAGGGTTGTTAAGAGAGTTAAGTGAAATGTCTACTACCATATCACAGTATTTATCATATGAAGCACTCAATAAACACTGCTCACTGCCATCACAGTGATCCTGATTGGGTTTCTGCAGCTGTACTCTTTACAGGAAACAGAAAGCCTCATCTTTCTCCCATGGAGAAGCTGGTGGGTTTGAATTGTCAACCTTGAAGTTAGCAGTTCAGTGCTTATAATTTTATTGTAATTCAATATTACATTAATTTTTAAATGAAGGGGCTCTTGACTTTTTAGTCATTCATGCACTCAGAGATATCTGAGGAGCAACTACACGTCAGGTACTGTTCTAGACAGCAATGCATGACAGTGATTTAAAAAAATAAAGATAAAAATCCAAGTCTCATGACTTTAAATATCACCTAAAGATTGTTAACTCTAAAACTCATTATCTCTAGGTTGGTTTTGGACTCCTGGTGTGTTACTGTAGGATCAATATTGGACTGTGAACCACCAGGTTAGCAGTTCAAACCCACCAGCGGCTCCTCGGAAACCCTATACATGGTCGCTATGGGTCAGAATAGACTCAGTGACACTCAACAGCAGCAACACACATCTTGGTATTAACATTAAGTGAATTCACTACAGTATTCATATGTGTGAACATTTAATATGTGTGAAGCACTGTGAAGACTTAAAAGTTTAATTCCTTGAACGTATGTATAAACTTTTCAATTAAAGTCACTAAATACAATAAATAAGTCGTCTAGTTTTTAAGTTATGCTACACAAGTACTGGAGTCCTGGTGTGGTGCTGTGGGTTAATGAGCTAGACTGCAAAGTTGTCTGAACTGCAAGGTCGGTGGTTCAAGCTCAACAGTCGCTCCTAAGAAACCACGGTTGCCAGAACCAAGTCAACAGTACTTAACAACAACACAGGTACTGGGAAGCATGGTGGCTCTGGATAAACACTGGACTGCAATTCACAAATTGAGCAGTTCAAGTCCACCAGTAGCTTCACAGGATAAAGATGAGACTTTGTGCTCCTGCAAAGATTTGTTGTTCTTAGGTGTTGTTGAGTTGGTTCCAACCCATATCGACCCTATGCACAACAGAATGAAATACTGCCTGATGCTGTGCCATCCTCACAGTATTATTATGTTTGAATCCATTGTGCTGTTACTGTATAAATCCATTTCATTGGGAGCATTTCTCTTTTTTGCTAACTCTCTACTTTACTAAGCATGACGTACGTCCTTTACCATAGACTGATCCTTCCTGAGAAAATGTGTAAAGAATGAGAGACAGTCGCACCATGCTGGCTTTCATAGAGCATCCTGGCTGCATGTCTTCCAAGATAAATTTGTTCAATTTTGCTGTCAGCCAATAGTACTTTCAATATTCTTTGACAACACCATAATTCTAAGGCATTCTTTCTTCTTTGGTCTTCCTTATTCATGATCCACATTTCACAACCATATGAGGTGAATGAAAATACCATGGCTTAGGTAACTCTTCAAACTGACATCTTTGTTCTTGAACACTTTAAAGAAGTCTTGTGCATAAGATTTGCCTAATGCAATTCATGCCGTGGTTTCTTGACTACTGCTTTCATGAGAGTTGATTGTAGATCCAAGCAAAAAGAAGTCTTTGACAATGACAATCTTTTTTTCATTTATCATGATGTTATTTATTGATGCAGTTATGCGGATTTTTGCTTTCTTTACATTGAGGTGTAATCCAGTGCAATCAAAGCTGTAGTCTTTTATCTTTATCAATAAGTATTTTAAGTCTTCTTTGCTTCTGGAAAGCTGAGTTGAGTCATCTGCTTATCACAGGTTATTAATGAGTCTTCCTTCAATACTGATGCCACATTCTTTTTCATATAATACAGCTTCTCAGATTACTTCCTTAGTTTACAGATTGAATAAATATGGTGAAAGAACACAACTTTGGTGCACACCTTTCCTGATTCTAAACCATTTAGTACTCCCTTACTCAGTTCTAACAATTGCCTCTTAGTCTATGTACAGGTTCCTCATGAGTACAACTAAGTGATCTAGAATTACCATTTTTAACAATGCTATCCATAGTCGGTTATGGCGTACAAAGTCAAATTCCTTTGCATAGTCAATAAAGCACAACTAAACATCTTTCTGGTATTCCCTGCTTTCAGTCAAGATCCATCTGTCATCAACAATAATATTCCACATCCTCTTTTAAATCCAGCTAGAATTTCTGGAGCTCCCTGTTATCTTCAGCAAAATTTGGCTTGCATGGGATATTAATGATATTGTTCTATGATTACCACATTCCACTAGGTCACCTTTCTTTGAAATGGGCACATATATAGATCTCTTCCAGTCAGTTAGCCAGGTAACCGTCGTCCATAGAAGTCCATTAGCATAGAAGAGTGAGTACTCCCAGCACTGTACAAGTTTGTGGAAAGATTTCTATTTGCATTCTGTCACTTACCGGAGCCTTGTTTTCTGCCAATGCCTTCAGCACAGTTTGGACTGCTTCCTTCAATACACATTTTATTATAATACTTGACTTTGTCTTCTTTAATTGATGTTTGAAATTTTCTGTTCAGCTCTTTTACTTCCTCATTTCTTCCAGTCACTTTAGTTGGTTTTTTCTACCTTTTTCATGACCTTTTGCTTTTGTAATGAATGATGTTCCTGATATCATCCCACAACTCTTTTGGTTTTCTGTCACTCGTGTCTAATGCATCAAATTTGTTTTTGAGATGATCTCTAAATTCAAAGACATATTTTGGCTTTTGTGAACTTGAACTTCAGTCTGAACTTGTTGTTGTGGTTATGTGCCGTGGAGTTGGTTCCAACTCATAGCAACCTAGTACAGGGTTTCTGAGGCTGTAAGTCTTTACGGGAGCAGAAAGCCTCATCTTTCACCCACAGAACAGCTGGTAGTTTCAAATTGATGACCCTGAGGTTAGCAGCCAGATTCATACCCACTACACTACCAGAACTTGTATATGATTAATTGATGGTCTGTTCCACATTTGGCCCCTGGTCTAGTTTGGGCTGATGAACTTCTGCATTGTCTCTTCCCACAGATGTAGTCAATTTGATACCGGTGTATTCCATCTAGTAAGGTCCAAATGTTGAAAATATATATTTTCATTGAATAAGTCATAGGTCTTACAAAATTCTATATGCAATCTCCAGCTTTGTTTCTATATCATATTTTCAACTACTGATCCTTCCTCTGTTTCCAACTTTCACATTCCAACCACCAGTAATATCAGGGTAAAGAAGTCAGTAAAACTTCAATTTTATCATCACTGACTTAAATGGTTAGTGCGTAAATCTGAGTAATAGTGATGTTAACTGGTCTTCCTTGTAGATGTATGGATATTATCCTATCATAGACAGCATCATAATTCAGGATAGCTCTTGAATGGCCCTTTTGAGATGAATGCGATACTATTCATCTTTAATTTGTTGCTTTCAACACAGTAAACCACATGATTGTGGGATTCAAGATGGCCAATGCAAGTCTAGTTCAATTCACTAATGCTTACTGTACCAATCTATTTGTGTTCCATTTCATTTTTGATGACTTCCAAGTTTTCTAGATTCATACTTTGTATATTCTACATTCCGATTATTAATGGGTACTTGCAGTTGTTTCTTCTCATTTTGAGTTATTCTCCATGAGAAAATGCAGGTCTTGAAAGAGCTGATTCATTCATTTTATATGGTCAGCACTTCTTTGAGGAGGCAGCCCTTCTTTGGTAGTATTTTGAGTGCTTTCTAACTTGAGGGATTCATCTTCCAGCACTACACCTGACAATGTTTTACTATTATTCATAAGGTTTTCCATTGCTAACCATTCAGAAGAGGTCATCCTCTCCTTTCAGTCTGTGTTAGTCTGAAAGTCCACTGAAACATGTCCATGGTGGGTTACCCTGCTGGTATTTACAATATCAGGGGCATAGCTTCCAACATCACAATAACACACAAGCCACCACAGTACCACAAACTGAGAGAGAAATGGTCATCTATAAATAACAGAGAACTTCAAATATATTTGCAAGGAAATTTAACCAATAGATTACTTTAAAAACACTACTATGCTCATTCATATACAATGTAGGAAGGTAAGTAAAAAAGTATTGCTACAAAATCATTGAAACCTTCATTTAATAAAAATATCAAAATATGCTCCAAGACACACAGGCACACTCAAACTTACAGATAGTACTCATATGACCTAGCCTCGATGGCTTGATGATCAGAACTCGACTAAAGTAAGATAAAAA